CCCTTTGAAACATACTCATTGGAATTGATTTGGCTTGCATTATCAATAACACCCGACATTCATTACCTTGTGATTATTTTATAAACAAGTAGTACTTTATTTTTAGGTTATATTTATATAAATACATCGTTCTTTCTCTCTCTCTCATCAACACACACTCACTCAACTTCTTCTTTGTCTTTGTTTGGAGACAAATATTATTATTGGATATACTACTACTACTTCTAGACATATATAACATATAATTATTACAACATCACATTTATTTATTACATCATTTACTCATTTACTCACACACACACACACACACACAATCAATCAATCACCAAACACACACACACAACACAGAGATAAACAAGCACAAATCAATACCTCATCCCTTTTGTGTCACTACTACAACAAAAGGAGACACCCCCAACCCCATCACCCCAACCTCTTGCAATCCAACAACCATCCATCCCCCTCTCATTCATTCATCCCTCTCATTTCATTCAATCAATCAATCAATCAATCAATCATTCATTCATTCAATCAACTTTGTTTCGCGCACTCTATCCAGGTGCAACTGCATCCATCTCCCCGTACCTTCCATTCCCTTACCCTTACCATACTTCAACATTCATACATACATACCTATCTATCTACCTTACCTTACCTACCTGCCATTAGGAATTAGACAGAGACATTATACATATAGATAGAGATAATTGATTGAGAAAGGCTGTCAAAGAAATAGTGTCAACAATACATCATTAATAATAAGGAATAGGACAAGGAATTATACAACTTCATCATCATCATCATTATGATCGATTAGTATCAATACTTATATTAGTAATATTAATAATTATCAATACAATCCAGCCTAATCCAATCCAATCAATCAATCCATCAATCCAAACAAAATAATTATTTCCAAAAACAAATCCATAATTTATAATAATTATTTATTCCAGCCAATCAATCAATCAATAATAAAATATTATTATTAGACCTTGGGTACGCGCCTGAAGAAGGAGAAGGGCCGTACTTTGACATCACCATCGATGATGTCGATGCTGTCTATTGATAGCAGCTTCTACTCGAGAGCGACAACAATCAATCTGGCAGTACATCGCAAGGCTGAAGGCGATGACAGTTTCGATAGGTTGGCACTGTCCAGCAGCAGTAGCAGTGACAGCAACAACAGTGATCTGTACTCGGACAGCGATGATCATCCAGCCAACAACAACAATACAAACTCAAATACACCACAACCGCCACAAGCTAACCAGATCCAGTCGTCCGCGGACACAGGACTGGAAACACCTCGCGAAGTCCTATACAGTGGAAACAGCACAGATGAACATACAGCCACTGCCACACATACAACTGCCACAGCTCCAACCACTACCATTATGACCGGAAACACATTGACAACAAACAATGCCGACAGCCTCAATCAACCATCGTTCAACGAGCTGAGCATAACATGCGACACATTGACAGAGACCGACGACGAAAGCTTTGGCGACATTGATCTGGACAGTTGCGACGACGACGACGACAATGACGATGACAATGACGACGAACTCACAGAGGTCTATATGGACAGAGAGCAGAAGCAGCAACAGGGAGCACAAACAACAGAGTTCCTTGCCACACTCACTCCCCATCAGCAGCATCAGCTGAACCTGTTGCAAGACCTATACAATCAGAGTTCGAGAAGAATGCGCGAGGGAAGGTCGCCCTCACTGCCGCCTGTTGATTGTCCCAACGGAGGAGGTCGCACTCAAGGCTCGGGTTCGCCACGCCTCTGTGACTCGTTCAGGATATCACCTTTGGAAGGAAGTCCAAACACTCAGCCACTGTCACTGTCATACTCTAGCAACTGGTCCGACTGCCATTCCCCGCAGTCCCTGCATTGTCTGGCGTGTGTCCCCACACCTCTCTCTTCATCTATTCAGAACGACTCAACACTTGGCCAATCGATCAGCAGCAGTAGTAATAATCCATTGTTGTCAAGCAGTTTCAATAGTATATCAATGTGCGGCGTCAACAACCATGCGGCAGTCGACTCGCCATTGAATGTTTCGCCATCAACAACGCCAAGAAGTCTCAATTGCTCAAACTACACCATACTACCACCTAGCAACGCTAAGCCACAAGGCAAGGCCAGCATGATCAGTTCAATACTTAAGCGTGGCAAGAAGCGCCTTGCAACAAAGTTTAGCAACAACAATCAAACCAACAATGGCGCCAACAACAGTCACAGCCACAACAACAACATCTCTGGCAATCACAATGGCAACAACAAAGATTACAATAACATCAATAACATGTCTGGCAGTGGCATCAAGTATTTCGATAATCCCTTCGATCCATCGCCAACAACATCAATAACAACATCATTATTGGAGCCTACACCATCATATGTTCAAGTGTATCGTGGCATCACTGGAGAGAGCTGGCGAGTCAAGGTATATCCATCGACCACCGTGACCGACCTGATATCAATGCTACTGAGCACGACCACAATCGATCCATCAACACTCACTCTATACATCACAAAGTCACTCAACGACTCATCACTGGGCAGCAGTGGCAGTCTTGGACATCACAGCGAGATGGGCAAGCCAGCCGAGCGACAACTACACAATGATGAGAAGATCCTCAAGGCCCAAAGGAAATGGTCCAGCTCATCTGTATTTATATTAAAGACATCGAGTATGTATAACAATCAAGACACGTCAATGGACTGTCGGTGGCCATCCACTAACCTCCAACTCATCAACTACAACAGGGAATAGTCGATGCTCTGTCAGTTCAAACCATTCAGACTCGTCTGATGCACAACATCATCATCATCAACATCACTTGCCTCATCATGGACCAAGACAACAACATTGTGCAGCAGACGAGATATCACCTATATCCTCATTCTCCTCACCTTTGGCCGTGTCGCACTCATCATCTACAGCAGCACACTCTTCTGTAGAGATCTCGTCGTCACTTCCATGCATGAGTCTGAACGAGTCCAGCCTGGCCTCAGACATGGACTCGAGCTYCAACCAGCAGCAGTTCAAACAACAGAACACCAGTCAATCAACATCACCACCATCATCACACCAACTACCATCACCAACAACAGCATCAACACCATCATTACCACCCGCCACTGTACCGCAAGGTCAAGAACTGGAAGATGGGCGAGTATCCCAAGAAGGAGATACGATGGATCAGTCAGTCGGACCTGTCCATCACCACCAAGATTGGCGAGGGCTCCTTCTCGCGTGTATACAAGGGCACGTACAAGGGCAAGACCGTGGCCATCAAGGTGTTGAACGACAGCACGCCAGAGCAATGGGAGTCGTTCAAGAAGGAGTATCGTATCCTGAGCATGACGTCGCATCCGCGGTTAATCAAGCTGTATGGCGCGTCCAAGGAGAACAAGCTCCTGATGGTTATGGAGTACTGTGGCAATGGCAGTCTAGCCAAGATGATGACCAAGAAGAACTTTGTCTTCAACTGGGAGTTGGTACTCAAGTGGATGCTGGAGGCTACAGAGGGGATTAATTTTCTACATACTATGACTCCTGCACTTGTACATAGAGATATAAAGGTATGTATCCATGATCAAGGGCCAGCGATGGCCACAACCAACACGATACTAACCATCAATCCATCTTCCAGCCACATAATTTATTAATAACATCTCATTATGAGCTCAAGGTTGCTGACCTTGGCTTAACGAGAGAGACCAACGTCCAGACAAGCACACTCAAAGGAACTCTGGATTACATGGCGCCGGTAAGTGGAACCATCCCATCCATCCATCGTCCACTCATTCATATCCTAACCATTCAATCAATCAATCACAATATATAGGAGTTGTTTGATGATGTTGCACCAAGCCCTTCATCGGACGTATATTCACTGGGTATAGTACTATGGGAGTTGACTAATAGGTTCTTCACTGGACGCTACAAGCGACCATTCGATGATATACCTCAGATCTCCTTTAGTTATCAAATACCTATATTCACAAAGCAAGGCGTGCGTCCGACCATGCCACCCAACGTGCCAGCCATGCTAAAAGACATCATACAGAGATGTTGGCACCAGGACCCCTCGCAGCGACCCTCCTGCCAGCAAGTGTTGCTGGACATTGAGCAGCTCTACAGGGATCACCTGGAGTCCATTCAATAAACTGAACATGGTTTGGAACGACACCTATCCCCATTCCCTCGACTGGCTGACCTGGGCGCAAGTTGAACTGAACTATCACATAAGTGAGAGGAGGAGACAAGATGGATGGTTGGTAGTTTGGTTTTATTGTATACAGGTACCCTCCCCAGTATATGGATGGGCGGGTAGTAGGTGAGACCACTCAAGTTGATCAATGGTTTGCTACTGAGCTGGCTCCGAGGTAGACCGCCTCTCGTAGTTTGACACCACATGAGCCAGAGCTAGAGCCACCACTCTTCTCGATGGTACTGTTGTTACCTTTGCTGGTTGTGAAGGGCGATGTAGGTTGTGCTCCGAGAGGGTACTCCCGGCTCAGTTTGTCGCGGGACGACGATGGATATACACTTGAGATGGCACTACCATAGCTGCCAGGTGATTGTTGACGAACATTTCCACTGTTCTTGCAGCTGCTGGCACTGTTATTGTTGTTGCTTGTAGTTGTGTATGTTGAAGTTGATGATCTCTTGTCTGGTGTGACCTGTTTCTTTGAATGGTCGTCGACCAATGTTATTGTGACTTCCTCCTCATATTCACCATCATCATTTGGGTCGACCTCTGTCTTTCTAATCTCTTTCTTCTCCTTGCTCGTTCCAGAGATCTTCTTCTCTGACTCTGATTGTGACTCTGAAGCGGCTTCATCGGCGGCAACAACCTCGGGCGCGGTGGAGGACACGACCACTGATGACTCGACACCAATGTGCTTCTCCAAGAGAATGAACAACTGGTCAACCTCGGCACTCAGCTCATCAAAGTACTCTTCAGCCTTCTCCAACTGACCCTCTTTGCAATATGCCTCCATCTTGCCACTTAGGAAACGGACGGCTTCGGCACCAATGTAACTGCTGGAACCCTTGATATCGTGTGAGTGTAGAATACTGTCCTTCTCATCACGCTTCTTGAGTGAGGCTTCCAACTGAGGCAGATGTTCCTTTACAGAACCTATATAAGATGTGATCAGCTCATTCTCAAACTCCAAGTCGCCATCAGAGTACTCGGCCAGTGTCTTTGAAAGGAAGCGCTCCTTTGGAGTTGGACCATCAAAGTTGGAAATCATTGTTTGTGTGAGTGATTGATTGAAGTGTGTGATTGATTGATTGATTGATTGGGTGAGTGAATGTTTGATTAAACGAATGATGTATACAGATAATTAGTTATTGATAAATAGATAGATAATAAATTATTATTATTTTGAAGTTGATATAGTTATGATGATAATGATGTTGATGAAGACCTGGAGTAATTTATGTAGGAGGAGAGAGAGAGAGATAGAGATGGAAGAGGTGGAATGGACCAGGTGTTAGTCACGTTCAAGCAGAGGTACATGTATAGGAGGAGGGATAGAAGGAGGGATGGAGGGAACCATTCGCCTAATGGCTGGCATTAGAGGATGGATGGGTTGTGGACAACAACATTGTATTGATTTATCAATCACTCTACACTCTTAGATAAATCTCATGTTGAGTTTGTTGATCCAATTGTTAGTGATGCTGGGATTGAATCACCAATAACAAGACGATAGAGAGACAGGGAGGAGGAGGTCTGGATGACAGTGATTACCGATCGGTAATCTCTACCCCATCCATCAATTAATTAATCATATAAATCTGTCCATTGAGCCACAACAAGTCCACTAACGCACACACACACTGATTGAGCAATCTTTCAATCAATCAATCACACGCATTGACACACAAACACACATGTCGACTTGTTTGATTGATTGATTGATGGATAATCACCCATCTTGGGATCTACGGATGAATATGTCGTCTCTATATTAAATCATTCCACCGAGATCACTGACCAATAACATAAGATTGAACATAGATACGTACTTGTTTGTGATAGAGAGAGTATAGATAAATAATATACAGATATATAATATTAATTTTAATTAATTAATTAAAATAGATAATATTAATATTTAAATATTTATATAGTGTCGATGGAAGATAATTATATTCTTACAAGCGAAAGAGTGTTTGATTGTAGTGGAAAGGCACCAAATAATGTAGATATGTAAGTATTTATGTTGTTGATAACAATTAGTTTGTAGGATGGATAGGTTGGATGGATGTCAATGAATGAATGAATGAAATGGAAGAAAGGAATAGATGTATTCATGTCAATGACGATTGGTAGATTTAATAGTGAACTGGAGAGGTGTAGTTAGGTGTATGGTGTATGAGTGTCCCTTATACTCAAAGTAACCCAAACCATTACGTGACTACTTATGTCCAATGACGTTGGAATGGACCGACTTTCCATCTTTGGCCCGATGGTTTCAATTGGACACGTGTGGGTTTTGTTCGTTTTGACGAGTCCTTTGAATGGAAACACACACACTTGAAGCCTCGAAAGGCCACAAGGACACACATAAGAGACTCACCACTCTCACACACTACAACTAAGACTGACATTCCCCTCCCACCTCCCCTTATGGATCAACTTTAGATTATTATATTAATTATGTTCTAAAGGAGAGTTCTATTCCAAAGAGTGATTGAATATAGATAGGAACTCCTAACTTATGATCCTATACCTTTAATCAATTGTGTTGACGTGAACACACACTCTCCATCCACATCATCATCAATATTGGATGTGCTTCCTCTAGCAGTTGATTGTCCTGAAGCAGTCCAAGGATGACCGTGGGACTTTAGAAGACTGAAACACACTGATCAAAGCCCTTCTCAGAAGCCCCAACACACCAACACACACAACAATCATATCCCATCACTTCAAGTTCGTCTACTACTAATGCTCGGTGTAGAGGCAAGGCTTGTGATTGGATTGGAGAAGCAAGCAATCTAACACATGGATTATCTTAATGTCCTTCCAAAAGATCCTAGTCAACTACAAATTATGGAAAGGAACTTGTTGTTGTGGTTGCTGCTGTTGCTCATTCATTTAACCAACTGACAAACAGACCGACAGACCGACAGACAACAACCACAACCATCGGTAAGCATTGGAATAAGAACAGGCAAAAGGGATAGCGACAATGCACATGCAACCCCGTAACGAGTTGTTGATAAGCGTCTATAGAGTGAGCAGTCATGATAGAGGTTAAGGTAGGTCAAAAACGAGACTTTCCTAATCTTGTTTATCGGGCTTTGGGGCGGTGGCCGTCTGGCCTTGCTCTGGATACTGCTCATAAGATGAACCTCCAAAGAAAGTGTAACCCATGAAGAGTCCAAGAACGAACGCCAGTGCCAAGAACAAATAGACATACTCCACCAAGACGTTCTAGATTGGATTGGATTGGATGTTCGTTAGACATCAGTGACGAGATTGTCGCGACAACCATAGTCGGTTAGAGAGATGGCAAGTACTTACATGAATGAGGGAGAGAGCTGGATGCCATGGCTTTCCTTTCAATGGTGAGTTAGCAAAGTCTGCAGTCAAGTACTGTTGGATGTTGGACTCTGATGGCTCCATGCCAAAGTCGCGATAGCCTGCTCCTTCCAAACTATAGTAATACAATATGTTAATCAATGAACTACTACTACTGCTTTGATGCTGTTGTTGTTGTTGCGGACACTCAATCAACTTACTATTTGATTGTTGGGTAGCCTGGAATCTGGTACAACTCACAAAGACCTGGGTGCTCTTGGCAGTTGACACGGGCAAACTGTACGGTGCCCTTGAATCTTGGAGCAATGTCCTCAAACACTGGCATGTACTTCTTGCAGTAGGCACACCATGGTGCGTAGAACATGATGAACCAACGCTTGCCATTGTCCGTCTCGCCAAAGTTATCCTCAGTCAAATCCTTCACACCACTTAGGCTGTCCTCTGCCACCTGTACAGTCTTTGAAGACTTGTAGCCCTCCAATACATACTGTTCCAATGCCTCCAATGTTCTCTCGCCCTGATGTTCATATACTACACCAGATGATACACTTGTTTGATTGGTTGTTAGTTAGTTACATCCATCATTGGTATGATCAATGGTCAAAGTTACAACTTACAACTTAAGTGTTGGATAACCCATGATCTCGTAACGCTGACAAGTTGAACGCTCGACTGTACAGTCGATCTTAGCGATGTTCACATTGCCCTTGACCTTGGTAGCCAACTCCTCGTAGATTGGTGCCAGTTTCTTACAGAAGCTACACCATGGTGCGTAGAACTCTATTAGCCATGAGCCTCCAGACTTTACATTCTGATCAAAGTTCTTATCAGTCAATACAATGACGTCTGACACTACTATATTATCGTTGGCCATTATCAATGTTGTGTTGGCCAATGCCACCAGCAACAACAATAACAATCCTGCTGCTGTTGTTGTACTATATCTCATTTGTATTTGTTTGTGTGTGTGTGTTTGATTGATTGATTGGATGTGTGAATGAATGTTTGATTGATTGTGGTTTGGGTGAAGTTGACAGCCACACACACCAATCAATCAATGATCATTTAAAACGTCAGAATCAATCTTTGTGTGTTTGATCAAGGATTCTACAACAATATAATATATATAAAAAGCAGTTTCTCTGTGTGGGGACCTTGTCGCCACGCTGCTTCCCATCCTCGGATGAGTACCGTTCACTACCCAGACTATAGATCCAGGTACCTTCGAATCCTGACAGTTCTGCTAAGTTACTGGTGGACCGACAACACGTTCACTCCTTTCTGCAGCCATCACTCCAGTGTCATGATCAAAGTTTTATGTTGATCGTCAACCCATCAGTTAATAAATTATGGGAGTAATAACAATGGATTGTAATAATAATTATTTACAAAGACATAAAGACGAATTAGTGTCCTTGATCAATTGATTGATTGACATCTTGATCAACTGCCAACTTCTAGGAAATTGAAGTTTAGTTGTTGGGTCGCCCAACAGACAGAAGTGTGACACTACATCAAATCAAATCATTGAGTCGAAATGAAGATCACTTGTTTAAGAGAGTGATAGAGACAGATACATACAGAGAGACAACAATGAAGTTCTACATTGAAGACTTGTTGGTCTACTTCCCCTATGCATACATCTATCCTGAGCAATACAACTACATGCTCCATTTGAAGCGAGCATTGGATGCTGGTGTAAGTCATCATCATCACTCAGATTGAATGATTGAATGAATTGATCGATTGATTGATTGATGTTAACACACTTTCAATCATTAATGTAGGGACCATGTATGCTAGAGATGCCATCAGGTACGGGAAAGACAGTGTCTCTGTTGTCATTGATCACATCGTATCAGGTCAAACATCATGTTCAACTATATTACTGCTCGAGAACAGTGCCAGAGATTGAACAGGCGATGGAAGAACTGAGGAGAGTTATAGCTTATAGGAATTCAGAGATGGCCGATGCAGCGCCAAAGACACTCGCACTGGCAATGACCTCTCGTCGCAATCTGTGTGTTCACCCACTGGTCAGCGAGCAGCGCGATGGCAAGGTGGTCGACTCGATGTGTCGCGACCGTACTGCGCCTTGGGTGCGCGAGAACGCCTCCAACGATAAGAAGTGCGATTTCTTTGAGAACTTTGAGGGCAATGGCGGCCAAGAGACAACATTGGAGGGCGTCTACTCGATTGATGACATGCGCGAGTTTGGTCTTCAGCACAAGATGTGTCCATACTTCCTGTCGCGACACCTTATCAACACGGCCAACATCGTCATCTTCAGCTATCAATACTTGCTCGACCCCAAGATATCATCGCTCATCTCGTCCAAGTTTGCGAGCAACTCGATCGTCGTCTTTGATGAAGCACACAACATTGACAACGTATGCATCAACTCGCTCAGCATCAACATTGACAACAAGACATTGGACAACAGTGCCAAGAACCTTACCAAGTTGTCAAACTCAATCGAGAAGTAAGTATCTCATGTGTCCTGCGAATCCCCTTTCACTCACACCTCTCCATCTATATCAATCATTAGCCTCAAGAAGATTGATGCAAGACGACTACAGGAGGAGTATAGGAGATTGGTACAGGGACTGGCTCGTACAGACTCGACACCAAGGGACGAGCTGGCAGCCGACCCAGTATTGCCCGCAGACGTGCTCAAGGAGGCCGTTCCCGGCAACATTAGAAAGGCCGAGCACTTTATGTCATTGCTTCGTCGCTTTGTAGACTACATGCGCAATCGACTAAAGTCGCAGATGGTCATCTCAGAGTCACCGCTGTCCTTCTTGCAGAACCTCTATCACGCCACACATATCAATGCCAAGACACTCAGGTTCTGCTCGTCACGTCTCAGCTCACTACTACGCACACTTCAAATCTCAGACATCAACAACTTCTCATCCATCTCTGTCATTGCTGACTTTGCCACGCTAGTTGGAACCTACAGCAAGGGATTCCTCATCATCATCGAGCCCTATGATCAAAGATCGCCCAATCAGATTGAGCCAATATTCCAGTTCTGGTAAGATCAATTGATTGATTGATCAATGTCGAGAGCTAATCAAACATCATTAACTCATGCATCACACCAACAACAGTTGTCTGGACGCATCCATTGGAATGAAGCCAATCTTTGACAAGTTCAAGTCAGTGATCATCACATCTGGTACACTCTCCCCACTGGATATCTACACAAAGATACTCAACTTTAGACCAACAATGGTGGAGCGACTACCAATGAGTCTTCACAGGAGTTGTATATGTCCATGTGTAAGTCGCTGCCGTCCTTCCTCGCCTCTGCCTCACCTCGCTAACATCCTCATCACATCTACAGATATTGACAAGAGGCGCTGATCAGATATCAGTGAGCACTAAGTTTGAGAATCGACACGACACTGCTGTGATTAGGAATTATGGATCATTGCTCGTGGAGATGAGTGCAATCGTACCGGATGGTATCATTTGCTTCTTCACCAGCTACAGCTACATGGAACAGATCGTATCGATGTGGAATGAAATGGGTCTGCTCAACAACATCTTGCAGAACAAACTGATATTCGTCGAGACGTCAGACGCAGCCGAGTCAGCACTGGCACTGCAGAACTATAAGAAAGCATGCGACAGTGGTAGAGGTGCCGTGCTGTTGTCGGTGGCGCGTGGCAAGGTGTCTGAGGGAATCGACTTTGACAACCAATATGGACGTTGTGTCATCCTCTATGGCATACCCTACATCAACACAGAGAGTCGTGTGCTCAGAGCTCGACTGGAGTTCCTTCGAGACAACTACCAGATCAAAGAGAATGAGTTCCTCACATTCGATGCAATGAGGACAGCATCCCAGTGCGTTGGCAGAGTAATCAGAGGCAAGTCAGACTATGGCATCATGATCTTTGCTGACAAGGTATGTTCACCACATATGCGATACTGTGATTGATCTCACTCATTTATTCACTCATTCAATCAATCAATAGCGATACAACAGGTTGGACAAGAGGAATAAGCTACCTCAGTGGATTCTCCAGTTCTGCCATCCACAACATCTGAACCTCTCGACCGATATGGCAGTTGCCTTGAGTAGACAATTCCTAAGGGATATGGGTCAGCCTTACACAAGAGTATGTAGTGGATGAGCCATGACATGAGGGCACTGCCACTAACTGTAATATCCACCTATCCATATTTTAGGAAGAACAATTGGGTAAGTCACTTTGGAATTTGGAGACTGTGGAGCAACAGGCAACAAGCAAGCCGCCAGGTTCGACTTCGACAACATCCACTACTACTACTGCTGCTGCCGCGACGACAACAGCAGATGGTGATACAACCATGTCAACAACATCAACGACCTCGACTACATCAACGACATCAACAGCAATGACTGTATCCCTATCATCATCATAAACATATGGTGATATTTCAAAGAGACTCAATGATTTATAAATGGGATGTTGACTTCTATTCCACCGTGATAATCAACTACTTCTTTGATATTGGAGATCGATGGAAGATGGTCTACTTTGAGAGATTCGAACTTTGTCCAAAACTCTACCGGCTTCAATGATCCAAATATATTGATCCTCTGGGCAGGAAGGCATACTGATACTTGATACACATCAAGGTCTTGGGCACTTTAATAAACTCTGGACTCAGATTGTCTCGAATAAGTACTCTCTGTAATGTTATTGGCCGCCTTTCCTCAACACTATTGTCCAAAGTCTCCATTCTATCGTCCATAAAGTATTTCACCTTTAGTGATTCAATCAATTCCTTGGCTCTTTGGCGATGACGTTGATCAAAATATTTAAGTTTGAATGTACTCTTTTGAAACTCCTCAATCAGTTTGTGCACCTCCAATGTATCAATATCCTTCATCAACAACTTCAAATGATGTACAACACATAGGCGATCTTTAGAACTAATGAATGGACATTCTAATGCTTTCTTCAATGTTTCAATATTCTCCAATGAAGTGTTTGAGTATATAACAATATCATCACAAGTCATAATTGTATATATGTATACAAATAATAATAAGTGAAGAGAAGTAAAGTGAAGGAATATCTTGACTTAATCCCAGGACTTCCCAAAGAATCAAAGAATTGCTCAAAACCACCACCACACTCTTGTTCATTCGCCATTCGACTGACGAATACAGATACACAAACACACAGATGGAGATAAAGACAGTTGACTTGATTATACAGGCAAAGTGGATTATACCTGTTGTCCCACAATATACAGTGTATAAGGATCACAGTTTGGTAGTTCATAATGGATTGATATTGGATATTGTTAGGACTAGCGATGTTCCTCTCAAGTACTACGCCACAGAGAACAAGGTATTGGACACAGCCGATGCCACTGACTGCCACATCCTCATCCCCGGCCTGTTCAACATGCATGCTCACTCGGCCATGGCACTGTTCCGTGCGTATGCCGACGACGTCAGCCTGCATGACTGGCTGACCAAGTTCATCTGGCCCGCCGAGGCACAGTACGTCAACAGAGACTCGGTGAAGCTGGGCACCGAGCTGGCCTGTCTCGAGATGCTCAAGACTGGCACAACATACTTCAACGAGATGTACTATCATCCAGAGTCTGCGCTCGAGGTCGTCGACAAGTGTGGCATGCGCGCCACAGTCGCCGTCCCCATCATCAAGTTCCCAACATCGTACGCGGCCACTGAAGCCGAGTACATTGACAAGGGAGAAGTGTTGATCGAGCAGTACAAGGGCCACGACAGGATCAAGATGTCGCTGGGCCCACACGCCGTCTACACCATCACAGACGAAGCATACCTCCGCGTCAAGAAGCTGTCTGAGCAGCACGGACTGGTCATTCATACACATCTGCACGAGACACATCGCGAGGTTGAGGACGAGGTTGTCGCCAGCGGCATGCGTCCAATCGACCGCCTCGAGCAACTGGGCGTGCTCTCAGACAAGCTGGTCGCCGTGCACATGACACATCTGACCCCACAAGAGATCGATCTGATTGAGAAGCGCAAGGTGAACGTAGTGCACTGCCCCGAGTCCAATCTAAAGCTTGGCGTAGCTGGCATCTGTCCAGTGCACGCACTGGTAAACAAAGGAGTCAATGTATCGATTGGCACTGACAGCGCAGCGAGCAACGACGATCTGGACATGCTGGGCGAGCTTCGATGCGCAGCCTACGTCGACAAACTATGCTTCAACATCGCACTTCAATCAAATGGCGAGTCAACGGACAAGTCTGTCACAAAGGCCGCTCACATACTGTCAATGGCCACAATCAATGGAGCAAAGGCATTGGGTGTCGACAAACATTTGGGCAGTCTGGAACTTGGCAAGAAGGCGGATATCGTTGCGGTCAAGGCAACAAGCCATCCAATCTACGACCCAATCTCACACCTTGTCTATGTTGGCACCAACAAAGTATGTGACGTCTGGGTTGATGGCAAGCAACTACTCAATCAAGGAAGAACGACCACCCTAAACGAATCCGACATCAATCAACGAGTGATCGATTATTGTTCCAAGATCATGACTACCAGGCCCAAGACAGATACCAACATCATTAAATAATAATAATAATAACAATAAAACCGAACAATATAATATTATAGTCAATCAATCAAACATACCCTCACAGACATACCCTCACAACATTCAACACATGATTGAAGTCGGTCGTGAATCAACCACGAATAATAAATTAAAATAAATGGTTTTGAGAAAGACGACTCGTTATCCACACTCTTTCTTTTGTTTTTGACAATTAATTTGATTCGCTCGATTGAATGGATGTGCGTGAGCTCTCACTCTCTCGCCTCTTTGCTCAAACACAACAATATCATTCGTTCAAACAAACATAATCACTATTACTACTACTACAACAACTAACTACACCTTTCACCTTACACTCACTCACTCTCTCACTCAATCAAAGAGTTAACTATTTCAATTTAATAACATTGGAATTGATTATCTATCTCCACCATCACTCTTTCATTCAATCACTCAATCAATCACACTCACTAGTTGATTAAAACATAGACTAGTAATATATATATATATACATATAGATACACATATTTAATTGAATAATGGTATTATATAATTTTAAAAAGATTCAGGTCGTCCCAACGTCAAAGGACTTTGTCGACATTGTCCTCTCAAAGACACAGAGAAAGACACCAACCGAGATACATAAGCAATATGCTATTGGAAGAATCCGTACCTTCTACATGAGAAAAGTCAAGTACACTCAACAATCCTACCACGACAAGCTCTCCCAGATCATTCAAGACTTCCCCCTCCTCGACGTATGTCTCTCATCATTCACTCATTCAATCAATCACGCGATCATGGTCACTCACTCAATTAATCAATCAATCAATCAAATATATAGGATATACATCCATTCTATTCAGACTTGGTAAACGTACTTTATGATAAGGACCATTACAAGCTGGCACTGGGACAGTTGAATACGGCCAGAAACTTGATTGACAACATTGCAAAGGATTACTTGAGATTGCTCAAGTATGGTGACTCGTTGTACCGTTGCAAGCAGCTGAAGCGTGCGGCACTCGGCCGTATGTGCACTCTGATGTTGAGACAGAACAGCAGTCTGCAGTACCTGGAGCAGGTGCGCCAGCATCTTGCCCGTCTGCCCTCGATCGACCCCAACACCCGCACCATCCTGCTGTGCGGCTACCCCAACGTCGGCAAGTCATCGTTCATGAACAAGCTGACCCGCGCCAACGTCGACGTACAGCCCTACGCCTTCACGACCAAGTCGCTATTTGTCGGTCACACCGACTACAAGTACGCTGTGTGGCAGGTGATCGACACACCGGGTATCCTGGACCACCCCCTCGAGGAGCGTAACACTATTGAGATGCAGTCCATCACGGCCCTGGCGCACTTGCACTCGTGCGTGCTGTACATCATTGATATCTCTGAGCGATGTGGCTACACCATCAAGCAGCAGGTCGACCTGTTCTACTCGATCAAGGCACTGTTCCTGAACAAGCCCCTGATCGTCGTCGTCAACAAGATCGACGTCAAGAAGCCTGAGGACGTCGCCCAGGAGGATTGGGAGCTCATCCAGAGTCTGGCTGATCCCGCCACCGGAGGTATCGGAGGCACCAAGATTCTGCCCATGTCCACACTCACAGAGGAGGGAGTTGCCAACGTCAAGGACGTCGCCTGCACCACCCTGCTCGAGGAGCGTGTCGAGAAGAAGCTCAAGTCATCCAAGATCCAGAAGGACATCCATCGTCTGCATCTCGCCATGCCCAAGCCACGTGACAACAAGGTGCGTCCAGCCATCATCCCACCAAGCGTGCTGGCCTTCCGTGAGGCCATGCAGGACGCCGTCGAGGACGAGAAGAAGATCAAGCTGACCTCAGCCCAGATGGAGGTGCTGCAGGAGGAGGAGGACGACCTCAAGTTCCAGCAGGGTATCCTGCCAATGTTCGACATCAACGAGTGGAAGCGCAAGTACCAGCTCAAGGACGACTCGTGGAAGTTCGACATCATTCCCGAGATCATGGACGGCCAAAACATTGCCGACTTTATCGACCCAGAGATCCTCGAGAAGCTCGAGGAGCTGGAGCGTGAGGAGGAGGCCCTGTTGGAGGAGCTCAAGAACCAGATGAACGACGAGGAGGAGTCTGATATTGACGAGGAGGACCAGGAGCTCTACGACGAGATCCAGGAGAAGAAGTTCGCACTCCGCATGGACCACGTGATCAACGACTCGTCCAAGCCCAAGCTGCCAAAGAACGTGCTGGGACTCAACACCAAGGACATGTCGAGGAACCTGCGCTCGATGGGTGTGGACCGCGAGGAGGTCGACGACATCATCTCAGACGTGCGCTCAAAGTCGCGCTCCAAGTCGCGTGGCAGAAAGAGAGACCGCTCAGAGGAGCGCGAGGAGTCTGTCGAGCGCGGTGTATCGCTCAACCGCTCGCAGTCCCGTTCGCGATCCAGAACACCCGCGCCACTGCCCGGAGAAGGTTTCCGTGATCTGGCTCACAAGCTCATGGCTGAGAAGCTGAACGTCGAGGCCAGAAAGAAGAGAAACAGACTCGGTCTGAAAGGTGAGGCTGATCACCACGTCTTTGATGAGATGCCCAAGCATCTGTTTGCCGGCAAGAGAAAGGCCGGTAAGACAACAAGAAGATAAACAATGTCTTTGTTTTCATATTATTATAATTATTACTCTATCATCATCATTGCTGTTGCTACTACCATGGCAATACTTCTTCTTGTTCAATAAATTATTATTATCCCCTTTATAACATACCCTTGCCCTATCCTTGCCCTACCCTTACCCTACCCTATCGGCCTGGAACACTGGTAAACAATTTGTTTATTATTGTCGACCAGTGATATGGAGTGAACTGGATATGGATGGATGAATGGATGTGCCAATGATTGAATGAATGGATGACTATGTCAGAGGAGAATTCTCCATAATCACAGGTCAAGGGTCATCTTGGGTCCAAGATCTATTCATATCCATAACAAAGCATACAAAATCAACACATGTGTACAAGCACTTAAACATTGTACCTGTGATAATATTAATTAATCATTGTGATTGTGTGTATTGATGATTCATCACCCAGGCTTCCAAGCGAGCGATCAATCTTGTGAATAATTTTACAATCAAAGTTTTGAGAGGAAGTGTGTGGCTGGATGTGAGAGGGTTGCCACCTGGCAACTGATTCATCCTCAATCCAGTTTTTTTGGAACAGTTGACTCCCAACTCTCAGTCTAAGGTTCCACTCTCTCATTCATACAACAAGCTACCTTCCACCATAACATCATCATCATTACCAACTTTGAAGAACTTGGCACAAGCTGCAACTGGCTAGCAAGCTACCAACTTCAATCAATCACATCACTTATTCATTCAATCACTTTTCCAAAAACAGATAGATAGATAATTATTAATTATTATTAATTGACGCAGACTATATAGGAAAACAACATGATTGATTGATCGATATATTGAGATATACACTCAAACAACCAACTACAGATCATCATGTCATCATCATCACTACTATCATCATCATCATCATCACCAACACTTATGTTGGGCATTGACGATACATGCTCCAACTCAACAACATCATGGTCATGTGGATTATGCCAATCGATTCTTTCAAAGAGTTTTAGCATCCAGGACAATGAAACATCGATCAACTTCAACTTTGTAATTGATGCCGTGGCCATTGGTTACATCTTCTCAGCACTCTACCTCCTCTTCCGAATCCAGCGATCATACACCTATCTCCAACAATCAACAAATAAGTTTGCCGATCCAAACAATAACAACAACAATGACAACAATAACAACAGCGATGGAAAGAAGTCATGCAACATCAATGATGGAGTAGGGAGCTCATACGTTTCAATCAACATGTCTGGTGAGAATCAGATGTTGTTTGATAATAACATGGGCATAACGATCAATCAGCCAAAGATCATCGTGTCCACCTACTTTAGGTACATCCTGTTCGTGATCACATGGCTGGCAATAATGGGCGTCATCTTGATGTTCATGCCACCATGGTCCGGCGTGCTCTACCCCACGCTGCTCGTCATCCTGGGCGGCATGCACGTCATCACCGACAACTGGATCATCATCTTCTTGACGGGCAAGGGCGACGACAAATGCGCCTCACGCTTCTCCTTCTGTCTCTCGGCCCTTCTCTATCTCATTCTCATGACCACCATGTTGTCTTCAATCTTTGACGACGATGACAAGTGTGTGTCACCAGTCGACTGCCAGCTCTCTCTATTCCAGAACGCCTTCACAGTACTAGGCATGCAGGCCGTCTACTCAATCGTGTACAGCATCATACTATTCTTCTCCTTCCGTTGCCAAGGAGCAATCCGAGTACGACCAACCGCCCGAATCTGGCTGTTCTTCCTTCTCTCAACTTCATTACTTCAATTGGTATCAGCCATTCTCAAGATATTCCATATTGATGCCGGATATTGGTATGTATAGGTACACCTTGGATTCCAAGGATTCAATCACTAACTTTGCCTGCATCATCCAAACAGTATATTGGCAATAACATGTATCATCAAGGCATTCTGTTATGGATTCCTCTTGTTCAGGACTTGTGGAAATGATACCAACCTCCTCAGAGCAAGAGGTGAGTTTGAGCCTCTAATGAACAACTTTGTTGTAAGTATCACATGTGATCCATCCATCCACTCCAGACCATTGGACTAATTTATCAATCTACTCACACAGGAATACCAAAACTTGTTTGGAAGAGAGTATATATCATCAAGTGATGGAACCAATGCATTGCAGTTGGCAGCGTTCAATATAAAGTATTCAGAGTTCAAGTTTGGAGAGGTGATTGGTGAGGGCTACTTTGGACAGGTTAAGAAGGCCGTTTGGAAGGGTGCCCCAGTCGCCGTCAAGGTGCTACACAGGAACAGCTACAGAAACACAGATAATGATGATGGCGTCGTCTTTTTCAAAGAGGTCGCAATACTCAGTCTTCTGCGACATCCAAATGTGCTCCAATTCCTAGGAGTGTGCGCCGAGCAGGACAAGAACTGCATCGTCACCGAGTACATGGGCGGAGGAAGCTTGGACCGCTTCCTACAGGATCGCCACTTCCTGTTGCTCAACTATCCCGAGTTTGCCTGGAGGATCATCATGGATGTAGCCAGAGGAATGTATTACCTGCACGACTGGAAGCCCAATCCCATCCTGCATCGTGATCTGTCGACCAAGAACATCTTGCTCGACGAATCCTTCTCAGTGGCCAAGGTGGCGGACTTTGGCCTGTCTCGCGAGCAAGGCTTCGAGATGACGGCTTCAGTCGGTTTCCTCCCCTTCCAAGCACCCGAGGTGTTTATTGGCGAGCTCTACACGCCAAAGGCCGATGTCTATTCATTCGGCATACTGATCTGGTGTATCATCACTGGAGCACAGCCAACATGCGAGCTCCCGCCCCTCAAGATGGCACACATGGCAGCCTACCAGAACTACAGACCACCTCTGCCTGCTCAGCCCATTCCAATGTGGGGACCACTAGTAGTGTTGATTCAAATGTGTTGGAGAGCAAATCCTGAGGAGAGACCAACGTTTGCCTTCATCCTGGACTTCATCAAGGCGAACATGCCTACCGAGGCATCATCATTCTTCCAGCGCAATGTATCAAACTGTGCCATCCCAAGCAATGTCCAACCACAAGATGACGTTGGATCAACAGACGAGACCGACAGCAACCAAGACTTCCACTACATTGGTGATTAATTACAATCATGGTGTCTGGACACCAACACAACACAACTACCTCCTTCAATCAAATCAACCAATCAGTGTGGAACAACATTGTAATACCAGGCAATCAATCATGGTAGCCACCACACAAGACTTCACTCTATCCAAGTGTCAAGTCTGCCCACTCCCCTATGTCAATGTCCTGGACTTCTGGTATCAAGCAGTCCAGACTTGATTGTTTCGAATAAAGAATGATTGGATTAACCTGATAAGGTCAATCCAACTATGTGTATAGTATGGTGGATCAATAAGAATGATCCATCTCAATCGAAACAAACAACTCTCGTGTTGTCTTGATAGTGTAACTAACCTAACTTAACCTAAGTTTATTGTTTGAAGATCGATCAAAGGGTCCTAAACCTCTGACGAATCAAAATTATTTACGCTAAGTACTGGATCCTCGTATGTTTTCTAAATGTGACAAGGATAGTAAGTAAGATGTACATGTATCAAGAGGGGAAGAAGTGGTACTTACGATGAAGTCATCGCCAACGTAATCACCCTCAGGTGAGAGCGATAGTGGAAGAACATCGGTGGGCTTCTTGTACTTCTCTATGGTTCTCCACCAATAGAATAGAGTGATCAGTGGCATTGGGAAACTGATTATAATGCCAGGTATGAAGACTTTGAGTAAGAAAGTTCCAATGGCTGTTATCTGATAGATTGCCAAGCCGACACATAGACGATTGAATACCAATGGCCACATCAATCCACCTGTTTGGTACTTTGGACAATATGAATAGATATGATTGTACTTTGATACATAATAGTCCAAGAAGAAGTATAGCATTCCAAATGGAATGATAAAGGGTGACAATGTACTATATGACACTGTGATCACTAAGATGAGTAACTCTCTTGAGTACTGTGTGCAGGTTTAAGTGTAAGTGATTGATTGAATGAGCGATGATAAGAGTGGTCAAGTACATACCTTGATGCATGTGATATCGGTTGGATCCTTCTTTGTGACAGCGTCTACTTTGTCACCGGGTGATGAGACTCTTGAAGCTCTGATGACTGCGCCGATTAATTCGAATGGACGCAGCAGATCCAGTGGTACTGAGGTGAGTGATTGGACGAGAATGTAGTTGATAAAGAATGATGATTGAGTGGGCAGTGATGATCCAAACAATGTGACAACCTCCTTGAGCGTCATATGTTCAATGATTCTAAAGAGAATGGTGAGCACTGAGCCTGAGATAGTGACAACAATGAATACATTGATGACGAGGAATGCCCAATATGTTGTGAACACCTTGTGGTAGTATGTTGTCCTTGTGTCCTCCTTATTGATTCGAATCAACAGTTTGATAAACAGTGGTAGTAGACCCATGAATGCGACCAAAGCCAATGATGGAAGGTATCCCTGAACAAAGCCCTTAAGAGCATCATTCATCTCGACCAAGTCCACCAAGAAATTGAGTACAGGTATCTTTGCCAAGTTCTCCAACTTTGACAATGCACTGATTGCTGCAACTGGTATCCTGTTGATTGATTCGAGTTAGAGAGTGATTGAACGAATGAATGAGGAGCTGTGGCCAACTTACATGTAGAAACAGAACAATACAAAGAATACTACAGAGATGATTGTACGCCTGATGGTCCTCTCTCTTCTTGGCACTGTTAGGTTCTTCCATCTGATGTTCTTTAGTTCTGGAGCAGGTGTGATAACAAATCGGTTTGTTATCTCAGAGTAGAGACTGGTGGCGCAGATCGATGCGTCTGACATTCGCTTGAAAGTGATGAATCCAGCATTGATAGAGTATTGTGCCCATTTGCGTATATTGTCCTTTGTAAGATTGGACAACTTAAACTCCATTGGTGCACCCTCCCTTTCCTGGGGGAGTTTGGCCTCGATCTGTGCCTCCTTCAGCTTGATATCAATGTCGATCAACTTCTTCTCGTAGTACTCGCGTCTGTCCTCCACCTCGCCGCCACATCTTCCCGGCCGGAAGCCCTTGGCACGCATTGGTTTGGTGCCCTTGGTTTCAATCTCGCTGAGTACCAAGTCCAATTTACGTTGTGCTCGTCTGTGTTTTGACCAAAGCTTCCTTAGCACCGGCTCCTTGTATACCATGTGGCAAGCCAATATCTCATCTCCCGAGAAGAAGTGTTGGAAAAATGTCAACATATGCTCTTCACTCTTTATCTCCTTATTCATCTCTCTGACCAATACTGTATAATTCCTCTCATGATGTTTGGTCATCCATCGCAATCTCTTCTCCAAGTACTACGCGGGGGTGGGAAGGGGAGTGTGAGTCGATCGAGGGTCAGACTGGAGACTCGCTGAAAACTTGATTTAACTTACAATCTTATATGTCCTGCGGAAGAGAAAGAATGCTACTCCGGTAAAGAGTGGTATGGAGATGGAGTGCGCCCATAGACGATCAGAACCTTCGGGCACTGAGGCAATGGAGACAGAGTCCAATGTGTTGATGTCTATTCCAGTGCCATTTAGACTGGTGTTTATACTAGTGTAGTTGATGGGCAATAGCACACCAATACCAAACACAAGGAATACTGTGAGCAGTTGGATACATAGTAGTAGGAATTGGAGATGCATGTAGGCATCGATTCCACGTGACTCGAATATCGACTCGAGGGGGAAGTAGAAGGTGTATTTGATCCATTCGATGGCGTTGACCACCAGAGGTGAGTGTGCACCATTGCTCTTTATCAATCGTGCGTTGAAGAAGTTCCTGTAGGACACTCGAAGTATGAAGAACACGGTGAATAGCACTGATGCTATCACCAAGTTTGTTATCAAGTTTGACGCAAATCCTTTCCAACCTGCTGTCAAATTCGCCTTCTCCACTGATGATGTATTATTATGTTCTCCACTTCCATTATTATTTATATCATTTAAACTATATAATAAATAATAATTCATAATTTATATTTATATTATAAATTATATTCTATTATTATATTCTGTTATTGTATATCTGTTTGTTGTCAAATTATAAGTTGTACTTTGGAGATTATTTGAATGATTGATTGATTGATAAGTAATGTATCAATGTATGAATAATCCTTGTAATATGCACGCAATATATATGATTAATGATTGTGATATGTGTTGTGTGTGTGTGTGTGTGTGTGGTCTTTATCTCTATCTATCTCTCTATCTCTTGTCTCATTCTACAATTCATACTTCAAAATGAACAACTCAATGCGAATGAATGAATGTGTGTGTTTGAAAGGATAACTGGATTATGAATGTGTGAATGAGAGAATGAATTCACCAACGAAACACAAACACACACCATCTTGAGCTCAAGAACACACAAACACTGTTTGATTGTTTGTCCTACGATCCAAACCCAGATGGCTCGTAGCGGTTTCGTGGTCCACTTTGTCGTTTTCCAAATGCGTCCAACTTGTGGTGCGTGGTTGGGGTAGTACGCGCAAAAGACGATAAACGTGAGTGTTTGATCACTTTGCATGATTTATTATTTATTATTGTACAACAACATTGATTGATTGATTGATTGATTGCTGGAAGTGAGTGAGTTTAGGCAGCAGACATGGCTTGAGCAAGGAGTGCGTCGAATTGGTCGATGATGGATGCAGAGGTCAGCTGAGACTTGACCCATCTTTGTGCCTTGACAACTAGTTTTTCCCATTGCGTCTTCTTGGCAGAGAATGATTTCTCAAGACGTGCCATCACTAATAATGTCGTCCAGACATCTGGCAATGCCTTCAATACATCAGGCTCACTGGCGCTAACACTGAACAACAAAGCATTCCAGCTGCCATTGGCCTTTTGTGATCTGATCAAGTCCATCAACAGGTCGCCACTGGATGATGGCGTCACACTCTTCTTCTTCTCATCCTTGATCGATGATGATGATGAGGACGATGATGAGAAGGAGATCTTCTGCTTGGATGACTCTCTCTCTGCGGACATCTCCTTCTTTCTGAAGAGGCCTTGAGGGGCTGGTGCGCGGGGCGCACTCATCATGTCCAAGCTCTTGTCGGCAGAGATGCAGCTGAGCTTCTCACACTCCTCAGCGAGGTCGTCCATGCAGCTGTCCATCATGTATGAGGTTGATGAAGTTGGTGGTGGAGGGGGTGGACCGCCAGACATGGGTGGGGGTGGTGGACAGGGACTGATTGAGCGCTGTGGTGGCATGCCGCCTGGCGCGCGAGGTGCCGAGCTAAAGGTGGGTGGTGGGGCGGGAACGGCGCCGCCGTAGGCCATACTGCTCGATTGATATGGCATTGGCATGCTGGGTGGTCTTGGCTGGACAATGGGAGTTGGCTTGATCACATCGACAACGACCATCGTGTCCTCAACTGGTGTGGACGACTCGGCCACCACAACGAATGATGTGTGATAGGAGATGAGGTGGTACTTCTTGCCCAGTGCGATGATCTTCTCCTTGCACTCGGCCTTGGTAGCGGGCTGCTTGCGCTCCTTCTCCTCGAGATCGTGGATGATCATGTTGGCAGTGAGTGTGTGGAGCGAGTCAGAGGCGCGAGACACCTGCTCAAAGTCCACGTCGATCTCGTAGGTGAGTGTCTGGCCGGTGGGGCCATCGGCGGTGACCTTTAGCTTCTTGGTGGTGGTGCTGGGCTGCGAGTTGACCAGTGCATAGATCATCAGACGCTCGTGGTTGAACACTGGTCTGATGTTGGAGGGTGCCTGGGTCAGGTCCAAGCCATCCCAGTCCACCTTGATGTTGGAGATTGTTGGCTCCATGGCTGTGCTCATCAGCTTCATCACCTGTGTCTCCATCTGAGCGTTGTCATTGATGAACTCAAAGTAGCCTCTGCAGGCCATCGACAGACCAGTGACCAGCTCGCGGTCAACACCGCCTCCAATACCCAAAGTGAAGATCCTAGTTGTGTTGGCCTCCTTTCCAACAAAGTCAATCAGCTCGTCTCTCTGTGATACCTCTCCATCAGTGACTATGTGTGAGGAAGTGAGTGAGTGATGTTAGTATTCCTGCTTGGCACGTTCAATCAATCATGCTTGAGGGGATACTTACGAATGAACACTTGTCTTGGGTACTGTGGATCATACTCATTCTTGAGGATGGCCTGGATGGGTGGCAGGAGCTCAGTGCCACCAAGGTTGGCATCGATCTGGGTGATGTAGGCTGCGGCAGCGTCGAGACTCTCATCGTTGTAGAGCTTGGACTCTGGGAACAGAGACTTGTAGGATGATCCAAAGAGCCAGATGTTGAACTTAGACTTCTCCGTGAGGGCACGCATGAGGATTTCCAGTGCGCTCTTGGCCTTGGCGATGGCGCCACCTGACATACTGCCCGAACAATCGAGCAGGAAGATGAACTCGGAGCGCTGGTCGACCTCGTCGGCCGAGATGGTCAGCTGTGGGTAGAAGTTGACGCCGAGTGCGTATGTCGAGCTGGTGGGCGACTTCTCCAGGAAGTAGGCGGGACGGTCTGTGTTGTCCTGTTGCTTGATCACAACGATCAGGTTCTTGGTGATAGAGCCATCGTGCACCAGACTGATCTTGGCGCGCTTGCCATCGACCATTGACTCGGTGGTGTCGTAGTTGAACACGTGCACGCCTTGGATGGGCGAGGACAGCTGGACATCGAGGCTAAACTCGAGCTTGAAGCGCTTGGTTGGGAACATGTAGCGGTGCAGGGCAAAGTAGTACTCGTCGTTGTAGGTGCCAATCTCCGAGACGATGGTGAGCGTGACGGTGACCTCCTTGGTGGGGGGCAGGTTGCCAATCATCGTGGTGAACGTGCCATTGTCATTCTTCTCGACCATGAACGCCTGGTTGCCGCTGGCGATGGCGTCCGAGTACTTGTTCTGGGCGGCCTCCTTCTCCTTGATCTTGGCGATAAGCACCTGGTCGTCGTAGGTGACGACGAAGCGCGACACGGCCGACTGGGGCGCGAGGGGCATCTGGTACTTGGCCTCGACTGGCGAGGTGTTGCCATTCTTGTAGCGCTGTGTCCAGACAGAGACCACTGCCGAGTCGGTGATGGTCGTCTCGATGGAGAGGTCGGTCAACTCAAAGCATGGTGGAGTGGTCGAGTTGTTCAGTCCACAGAATGGTTGAATTGTCTTTTTCTCCAAACGTTTAAAGAACAAGTTGGAGTAGTTATCTGGTGGAGCACATTGTGATGCTGGCTGGCCTGTGCTTGGTCCTGATGATGATCCCTTTCCAAATATTGATTTAAGTACTTGCATCCTTAACTTTATTATTTGTAATAATTATATATATATTAATTGTAGTTTGTTTGTTTGATTGATTGATTGAATGAATGATTGATGTGTGAAGGTTGTACATTAATATCTTTTTTTAGCCCATAACAGTTTGGATAATCATCTATTCAAACCCCCACAGTGATAAAGAAGTCGATCAGATTTTCAATCAAATGTGCTTCATCGAATAATATCGATTTTTTCTTGTGGAGTTTTTTTGTGTCTACTACACTTAGGACCTCAAGGTCAATCAAAAAAGCACAACATCTCCATTAATACATATTTTATTTATCGTCCCAGGTAAATTAGTCTTGAATTGTTTACTATGGTTATAACATGTTTACTTTGAGATCTTGGATGGACTTGGAAAGACTATCGAAACCTTCCCAATCCCATTGGTACATACCTTTTTAATGTTTCAATTAGGTTGCACCCTCTTGGATAATAGGAGGTTCCGAACTATTCTACCGCACTCCCTCGCACTCTCTAGACACACTGGCACCACTCCATCAAGTTTGGGGCTCAAACTTCAACCTGGAATTATTCCTTTCAATCAAATAAACTTGTTGTGTAAATTCACACATTTGACGTCACGAGAGTAGGGCCAAAAAGTTAGGAAAACGAATGAAACTATCAAATGTTTCGTTTGAATGAATGAATGAATGATTGACATCAATCAACCAACCAATCAATCAATCAATCACAAGTACATATAATATATGTATATAACAAACAAACAAAGAAGAAGATGAAACTACCACCAATGCCCAAGATTCAAGAGTTGATCAGACTTTATGGTCTGTCAGCAAAACAGCAGCTCTCACAGAACTTCTTGTTGGATATGAATATAACGGACAAGATATGTAAACTGTCTGGTGGCTTCAAGGACTGCACGGTGATAGAGGTCGGTGCAGGACCAGGTGGTCTCACTCGCTCGCTGCTCAACTCGGGCGCCAAGAAGGTGATCGCCGTTGAGATGGACCGACGATTCATCCCGGCACTGCGCATGATGGAGGAGGCCAGTGACGGTCGTCTAAAGGTGGTGATGGGCGACATGATGGACGTCGACGAGGCAAAGATACTCAGAGAGAACTGTGCAGAGAAGGTCGATTGGGGTCAACCATCCAAAGTCAAGATCATTGGTAATCTGCCCTTCAACGTCGGTACACACCTCATGCTCAAATGGATCAGGCAGATAGCGCCTCGAACTGGTCTCTATGAGTTTGGTCGAGTGCCGATGATACTAATGTTTCAAAAGGAGTTGGCTGATGTAAGTCTCGATTGATCGATTGATCACTCAATGGAACTATTCCACTCACTCACTCATCACATTCATTCAATCAATCAACTCAATCAATTAACTCAATCGATCAATCAAACAAACAGAGGATTATAGCACCAGTTGGATCACCAGAGTATGGTAGACTGGCAGTGATGGTACAACAGGAGTGCATGTCAAAGGTGGTGTATGATCTACCTGGGAAGGTGTTTGTACCTCCACCAAAGGTGGATGCAAGCGTTGTATATATAGAACCATTGATCAAGCCTCTTGGTGAAGAGGCCAAGTCCAAAGAGTACCTCGAGTACATCTGTCGAGAACTATTCACACGCAAGAGAAAGACACTCTCCAATGCCATCAAGTATGTACTTCACTCATTCACGCACTCACTCACTCAATCAATCAATCAATCAATCACTCATTCAATCATTCGACCATAACAGGACATTGGGTAATGGATCAGAATCATTGATTGGTGGAATAGATCCAATGAAGAGACCACAGAACTTGACGATCGAGGAGTTGGTGGCACTGTCTAATCGATTTGTGGATTGGCCTGGAAAGAAGGAGATTGATATGTTGTCATTTAGGAATGATGGCAAATGGCTGAGATCAGAGCTAAAGAAGGAGAAGAGGGTCAAGAAGCAGGAGGAGCGCATTGAGAAGCAGAAGAAGAAGGTGGAGGATTTCAAAAAGTTGAGCAAGGAGGATCAGAAGATATACCTACAGTCACTCAAAGAGACTATGCCATCCATCTTCAAGAATGCCCATGTCCTGGCCGGTGAGCCAATCAATGACAACACTGGAGACAACATCGACAACACATACGAAGATGAATACGACGACGAGGAAGAGGACACCATTGTTAAGTCCTAATCGATTGATTGATTGATCACGTGATTTCCATTCCAAGGCCAGGGTCATGCGAGACCTGGCCTGGAAATTTGGTGGACCACCGAACAATACATTGAAGTGAAGGAGGGCAGGACTCGCGAGATGTACTCTCCCTTTGCGCTAAAGTATCACATTAACTTTACTTTACGTTTACTTTACTTTGTCAACAGCTTGATGCCATCGTAGATACAGAATTGAATGGTAACAAGTGTGGTCACCATTACACATCTTGCTTGCAAGCCGAGGAACAGTCCACGAACACCAAGTCGTCGTACAATGTTGCCAATGGCACGTCCAACACCTTCGTCAGTCTTTTCTTGATTGATCTTTGAGAGGATTGTGTCGGCAGGATGTGAAGCGATCGATGCCACGATACCAGATACTGCACCAGTACCCAAAATCACACCAAACTGCTGGCCATCACTCAAATCATTCTTTGTCAGTCCCTTTGTCAACTTCAAGTTCTTGTAGAAGTACTCATTGGCGAGTTCATATGTGACAAACTGTGCGCATGTATAAGGTACCTGCTTCAGAATGATTGGGGACAGGCCCTTGTAAAGTCTACATGATTGGAAGGCGGGGAGGTGTCAGAGACGTGGCTGGGGCTGGGATAGTCCCAAGGCCAAGGCCAAGGCCTCATCAATCAATCAAACATACCCTTTGATTCCCTCGCTTTGATATATCTTGTTGAATGCTGGTAGCATTGCAGAGGCAAACTTTGGATCGGACACTTGACGAATTCTTACAGCTTCAAAGGGACACAGGGCAATGTCTCCAATGGTCTCGGCAACAGATGATGCCGCCAGCCATATTGGAATACGATAGGTCCTTTGAGTCTCCTCAGAGAACAGTGCACCAAACTTCTTCTTGAACACCTCGTAGAATCCAAACTTGCAGAATCCCTGTATAGCATAGCCGAACTAAACATCACGTGATTGATTGATTGATTGATTGAATGAGTGAGTGATTGATTGAGTGATTGAGTGAGAGGTGGAAGGTGGATACATACTGTTGTTGCACCAATACCTTGTAGAAGCATTAGTGAACCTTCTTCTTTGATGATGGTTCGGGCAGCAGCACCCATGCCAGAGTTGTACTTGATTGGATCAGTCTGAAGACGAGTCTTGACAACATCCATTGGCACTACCACCAGATGTGTGAAGCAGCAACCGGCAGCACCACCGGCACCATATCTCAAGAACTTGTTAAAGGTAATAGGACCTTGATCATTGATTGTTGCTCCAACCATTCTATCTATCTATCTATCTCTTTGTATAAGTTATATGTTATCTGTTGTTATCTGATGTTTGTTGTACTCAATGAACACAATGAAGCAAAGGTGAAAAGGTAATCATGATGTTGATGATGATCGTCTGAAAGTGCACTCTATGCAACCCCGACGATTGGACCTTCAGGTCCCATTGATCAGAGCCCACAATTCAGGAAGACCCTTGGTCCCATTTTTATGATCAACTTTTGATAAAAATCGTCGTTTTTTGGGTCATTACGTACTTTTGTCATTCGTCATTCGTCAGAGACGACTGACATTACACGACGTTCAATTTCAAAGTTGATTATGAATAATATTATTATTATTATTATTATTATTATGATTATGATTGATCACTGCTGCTACTGGTTGTTGTTGTTGTAGAAGTAGTGCTAGTGCTTGATGATGATGATGACGATGCAGCTCTATCTTGCTTCAGCTTCAAAGCCATCTCCTTGAGTGCTTGCTCCTTCAACTGCAACTTTTGCAGTCTGGTCTCAATGGTCTCCTCCTTGTGATAGTAAATGGGTCTGGTGAACCTGTCTGACGCATTGGCCATGACGTTCTTGCTCTTCTTCTTGCCCTTTGCCTTGGTCTTGGCGACCACGTGCTCCTGTACATCCATATTGCTCTCGCTCTCGATGCTGACATCATAGGTGACCTTCTTCTTGAGCTCGGCGGGTGGCGCTTGATGACCCGAGGGCGAGGTCGATGTGGTCGTGGTCGAGGTGCTCGTCGACTCTGGCTTGGCCTTGAGTGTCTTCCTCTGGAACTTCTCAGCTTCGAGACCTGGGGGTGGCGAGCAGAACAAGAGCTTGCCAGCGACAAAGTCTTTCAGGACGATTCTGGCGGCACGCGACTGATCTGGCGCACCGTGCACAGTCATGAAACCTCTCATGTAGGCGTAGGCTGACAACAGCTCGGCACCAGTTGGGGGTCTATCCTGGGCCTCATGCTCCTTTGGCAGTGGAAGTGCCACAGCATACATGTCCTCAAGGTAACTCCTTGCGACACGTTCACAGATAGCGTCCACTGGAGTAACAAAGTCTCTCAATTGATCGATTGGCAAAAGTCCATTGATAACCTATTGATTGATTGAGTAAGTGATCATGATTGACTGAGTGATCGAGTAGCCCTGCATAACACATACCATTTCAGCCTTTGATGACAATAGAGTTGGGAATACGAGACCTGGACAATCCAACAACACAATCTCCTCTTCTTCCAATATAATCGTCTGTACATATTTCGTCTTTCCAGGAGTTGCTGCAACGGCAACCTTCTTATCGCCAAACAACACATTGATCGTACTACTCTTTCCGACATTTGGATAACCTGACAGTCCAACAACGATCTTGCCTTGGAACCTGCTGTTCTCGGCTGTATGAGTGAGAGTGGCGTGCGAGGGTTAGTGTCTGGCTCGCTCCTGCCATGCCATGCCATGCCCCATCAACAACTTACTTAAAGGCTTGGGACAAATAAGCTTAAACTCATCCAATATCTCCTCGCGAGTATATATCTTTGTCTCCTTGTCTTCGTCTGGCTTGCTCTCCAATTTCTGTATCTCGTCGAGGTCAATGTCGGCACCCTCGTCAATCAGTCGCTGGATCTGCTTGCGCTTCTCAATCTTGAGTTGCTCCTTGTGCGCCGAGAAGAAGCGGTAGTCGATGCCCTCGGACTCAAAGTACTTGGCCCACTTCCTGCGCTGCACCTTTGTCAGCAGATCGGCCTTGTTAACGACCAACAGGTTGGACTTGAGTGGGTTGAGCTCCTTGGCGTAACGCTCGAGGTCTGGCGATCTGAACAACAAAGGATTTCTCGCGTCCACAATCTGCACCAACACGTCACTCTTCTCAGCGACACGCCACAACTGCTTCCAGACCTCTGGATTCTTCTCGAATGGTGTAATAATGAGACCATTATCCTCCTCCAGCCTAGGTTTGATTGATTGATTGATTGATTGAGTATTAGTGTCGCGCTCAATGACACTCATTCGCTCGCTCAGTCGTTCGCTCGCTGGCCGAGTCATGTGTAATGTACGTACTTTGCCAATGACCTTCTCCAGTTGTAGAATGACTCCTTCTCGCTAGCCAAGAGCTGCTCGGTGGTGGTGTTCTCATCCCAGAATGGTCTGCGGGGGATGGTCAGTGAGTTCCAGAACTGGTTGTTCTTCTCCAGTTGCTGCTTGTGCTCCAGAGTCTTAATCTCTCTCTCCTCCTTTGACAACACGGTGGATGAAGTCTTCATCAACACCACAACATTCTGCTTCTCAGCTTCGAATACCCTCTGCTCCATCTCTGACAACTCCAAAAAGTTCTCCAAGTTATTCGACATATCTGTGTTTGAATATAACTTCTTTCTCTCATCCTTTGGATCTATATCAGTTGTATACATCTATATATGTTTGTACATGTGTCAGTCTATGTCTCTATCTTGTTATTCATTGTCCATTATCGAAGACATACAGCAACGGTCTCTTGATTGATGTTTCTGCCCAACTTCCTATTCCTGGATTTAATGAGCACGCGACCCAAAGAATCATGTTTCTTTCCCTTTGTCATTATTTATATAAATGTATATATATTATTAATTATATGTTATATGTTTGTTTATATGTACTACACAATGAGTTCAAAGTTGAGAAAGGATTGTGTTGGTTGTTGGTGGTGAAGCGAACGAAGGTTGGTCAATGCTTCGTTTTGATTGTTTGTTTTTTTTCGAACACAAAGACGAATCGCGAACACTCTCACACACACACACGTTCTTTCAATTCACTCATTAAAGATCACACTGGAATCATTCCAATCAATCATACATACACACTCAATCAAAGATCATGACTTTATTTGATTGAACCACTGATTGATTGTGACAGCGCTGACTATGTTGTTGATGTTGCTAGGAATTGGATTGCCAGGTTTGGATAAGGTAGCCATCATGTAGTTGGGGTCCAACCATCTGATGCATATACGTTGCTCTTTTGGAAGTAGTACTTCAAGATCACCAACATTGGACTTGCGTATATCTGTCATTACATTGTTGATTATACCAAGTGCTTGGATGGTGGATTGTCTTGAGAGGTCCAATACCATGCGCTGTACATTGTTTGGTATGCTCAGATGTTGATCAGTCTGTCTGAGTCTGACCTGTCGCACAGACATTGGCAACACATCTAGGTAGCGTACATGTTGATTACGTGCGGTGTTGGCGAATACTATCATACGGAGATTGACTGGCAGGCATAGATTGGAGGGTGGCTGATTGAAGCAGTAGCCAAGGGATAGGTTGGTGAGTAACTGTGGAAGGTATCCAACGAGTAGTGGTTGATTGAACTTGAACCCAAAGGTACATGATACAAGTCTGTTGGGGAGCACACCAGGTTCAAAAGCATGATTGAATGACGTTCCAAATGTTAGGCTAGTAAGTGATTGAGGTAGGACGTTGATCGACAGGGGTTGGTCGTATGAGTGGCCAAAAGTTAGTGTGATCAATGAAGTTGGAAGACTATCCTGGATTATTATTTGATTGAATTGGTAACCGAGGGATAGGGATGTCAATGATGGAGAAGGAAGTACACCAACTGGGATTTGTTTGTCATAGTTTGTTCCAAGTTGGAGGAAAGTGAGTGAAGTTGGTAGGGATCCAGGGATGAATGATTGATTGAACATGGCGCCAGTGATCAAAGTTTGAAGGGTAGGCAAAGTATTGACTTCAAGTTGTTTGTTGAACATATGACTTAGAGTAAGTTTGTTAAGTTGGGTTGGTAGATGAACTTGATTAATGACTTGATCAAATGTATTTCCAAGGTGTAGGTTGGTGATGGACTTGGGTAACACTCCATATTGAAGTGGATGATTATAGCCTCCCATATGTAGATATGTCAATGAAGATGGTAGTACACCAGGGACAATATGTTGATTGAATCCATCACCAAGTGTAAGTGATTGTAACATTATTGGTAATGATCCATGTGTTAAATGATGATTGAAACTTGATCCAAATGATAATGTAATAACTGAAGATGGTATCATATCTTTAGGTATTGATTGATTGAATGTCGATGACATTATCAACTCTGTTATGTTGTTTGGAATGATTCCAATACCATTAAATAATAAACTTCTTGAAGGTTGAACATCTACTTCTTCTGGAATTGTAACTATTGATAATAATGATGATTGAATATATTTATATAATCTCTTACAAGTAAGTGATAAACATAGTTTATCGACCTCATCCTCTACTAATTGAGACAAATGTCTAATTATAACTAAAGGTAGTGTTGATAGTCTATAACTATTGTCCATTATTCTAGACTTGGATGTTAGTTGATGGAGGAATGAATGAATATGGTAAAGGATACTTTTCCCAAGTTAATGCTCCATCCATCAAGTGGAGCATGTTCCATTCAAACAACAACTTCCGACCCCACTACCTCCTGATCATATAATTCGATTAAGTGTGCATTGCCCTGTTGTTGCCGTGTTGCCAACCCATCAGTGGCAATAGCAACACACACTTTGATCAAACACACACCACATCCAAACAACTACACACAATTGCAATTGGATGGATGATGGTAATGGTATTGGTCTTCCCACTATCACGTGATGATCATAATGTACCTGTTACATCTACTGGATCGAGAACTTACATACAAACCACTATGAATGAGGTTTGGCGCCAGCTATGTTGTGTTTAGATAAGAGTATGTTTCTTGAACGATGACAACATATCAAAGATGTTATTACTTCTATCACTGTAGTTGTTGCTGTAGTTGTAACAGAATTGGTGGTTGTGTCTGTTGAGTAACAGCAGTAGTCACAGTAGCAGGAGTCGCGGTAGTTGGAGCGGCAGCATTGGCTGTAGGTAGATGTGTCAATTGTGAAGAAGATGATGTTGTTGTTGTTGTATGTGAAGTTGGAGATGTTGGAGATGTTGGTGAAGTTGGTGGGTAGCGTGTGTGACCACTACCACTGCCACTGCCACTGCCACTGCCACTGCCACTGCCACTGCCACTGCCACTGCCACTGCCACTGCCACTGACACTGCCAATGCCAATGCCACTGCCACTTCCAACAATAATGCCAGAGTCTGACATCTTTAGATTGTTGTCCACAACTACCTTGAAACCAAAAGTGGAGCGAATGTCAGTGGGCACCAATTCGTACTGCTGCCTTGTGATCTTGGCCTTCTTGAACAGTACTTGTCCCTCTCTAGTGTATGCGCCAAGGTTTGCCCAATCGAGTGTGGCGTATCTCAAGTCTGCTGCGGTGAAGTGGCAGTTGTGAAGTCGGGCACCAGTAAAGTCACAGCCGGTAAGGTCTGCGTTCTGGAACTTGGCATGCTCCAGGTTGGCATTCCTAAAGATGCCATTGGTGATGATCGCACGCTGGAACAGCGATCCTGTACAATTGGCCTGACTAAAGTCAGCGCGACGCAGCTTACAACTGTTGAAGCTGGCGTGGTCCAAGTTGGCTTTGACAAACGAGCTCTTTGACAGTCTACTCGATGACAATATAGTATTCTCTGCAACGACATTGTCGAAGCAACAGTTCTTTCCAATTGACTACATTGGTTGAGTGAGTGTGAGTGGACCATGGATGGATTGATGTCCAAGATGATAACATACGTTAAGGAATGTTGAATGTGATATCCTACATTGTCCAAAGTTACTGTTGGATATGTTGCAGTAACTAAAGTCCTCTTTGATGAAGTCGATTGATGACAAGTCAATGCCAATCTAGTGTATGTGTGCCCATGTGTCGTTAGCCATGTGTCATCATATCGACAGCACTATCCAATAACATACCAGCTTCTTATTGTTGAACTTGAGATTGCCTTTGTTGAGCAAGATGTCCTTGCGAGTGTAGTCTGAACGATTGGAATCCAGTCGTTCTATAATGTTGATCAGAGTGCTGATCTGGAAGAAGTGAGCCTCTTGTAACACGCCAGCCAATGATATACCATCATCAATCACCACTTGATCGGCACTTGGTGACCTCAAGTGATTGAGCAGCACTCTAAAGTACTTTGGATCACGATCAATCAAATATGCGCCATTATGATCCTTCCTGGAGCTTTGTAGCTGACAATCACGTTGGAACTGAGAATCCCAATGCGGCATCAATCGTTTGAGTGTGAGTATGAGTATGAGTATGAGCATCACATGCACATGTGTTGTGCTGTCCTCCTCCTTACCATCTTGTAGAGCACTGAGTTCGGATCTGAGGTCAATGTGGACCTTGTTGTTTGGAACACCTTGCCGCCAACATTCAGTGCTATCCAATCATCTACCTCTGTATCATTGTTATTATTGTTGTTATTGTTGTTATTGTTGTTATTGTTGTTATAATAAGTTGATGATGTCATTGTATATGTTTGCTAGTTTGATCAAATAAAGATCTATGAGGACCCACAAGGTCCTTTTGAAGGGTCACCCTTTGGAGGAGAGTGGGCTTGACTGATCACACGATCAACCATGTTGTCAGCAATTTATTTCAAAAGCGGAGACGTCTCATCAACTCCTCCTTTGGACCTGCTTGTTGAGGATGAAGAGGCTGAAGCCGAGTTGGACTGGACAATGGATGTTGATGATGATGATGAGGATGATGGACCCTCAGCAATCTCTTCTTCATCAATACCATTCAGGTCCACTATTGAGTTGCTACTGGATGAGGCTACGATATGATGGTTGTGATGATGTGACTCGTCATCATCCTCGACGACTACCAATTCTATGTACTCTTGGTCAGCGTTGTCTGGACCTTCGCCAATTAGACTCCTAGCCAACCGTCCATTCCTCATATTCTTCTTCAGCAGGAACTTGTATAAACGTGATGGATGTTGTGATCCATTGACACTGGACATCACTGGTCTCTTCAAATCAGGGTTATTCTCCTTCCTAATAATATTGATCATTTCCACAATAGTTGGCATGTACAATTGCATCATATAACTGATTGTGACCACTGGCATGATGCATGTTACCAATATCAACTATAACATTTGATTGATTGAGCGAGTTAGTGATTGTGATTGAATGATTGAGTGGATGGATAACATACAAAGAATGATCCCCAGAAGTCTGCAGACTTGACCAAGTTGGTGAGCACGGCATAGGTGGTCATTGTTGGAATGGAGTTGAGTGCAAATGCGCAAAGGATATAGACTGGTATCGTACCCCATATCAGTAGATGGTTAATCTTTGTGATGGTACTAAGGGAATAGAGGGTCAGTAATTAATCATGCCATGCCTGAAGTGTGGCGCATACATACTGTGAGGCTAGGAATAGAGTGAGTGACTGGAGGAAGATGACGGCTGTGAATGAGATCATTGAGAATGAGTCATAGTCGATGGTGGATCCATGAAGGAATGCGAATGGTCCAGCTGTCATGCAGAAGATTAGGATCGATTGGAAGGCTGCACGTAATGCCCACTCGATAAAGGTCATCACACTGAATGCACGACCTTCTTGACAGACACTATACAGGTATGGGTTGCGTTTGAGTATTGACTCGGGCAGATCCTTGTCCAGGATATAGCCCATGATTGGTAGGCCTGTAAAGATGATGTTGTATGACGTAAGCGAGAAAGTGTTGAAGAATGACGAGCCGCCAAACCCGCTGAACAGCTGATACAGTATCTGAATGAAGCAAATGAACAATGACTTGTAGAAGCTGTAGTTGGCCACGAAGCTTGTTCTCAAGTATGAGTATCTTCCATGTACAAATATCAAGTCTCGCAAGTACTTGAACCCTAATGAACGAGTGAGTGTCAGTCATTGATCGTTGGGCGTGTCCAAAGGTGACAACTTACTCGCTACACTATAGTCTGCAGCACGTGATGCTTGTAGTCCTTCACGACCACTGATGCCAACACCAATATTGGCCTCCTGTATCATGGATACGTCATTGCCTCCATCGCCAACAGCCAAACATATCTTGCCAGTGTTCTTTACCAATCTTACCACCTCTGCCTTCTGATGTGGAGTGACTCGACAGCAAATGACCGAGGGCACCATGCATGATAGGTCCAACAACTCCTGTGAAGCATGCCTCAGGGCTATATCCACGACATGTCCTTCAATGACAATCGTTGCATCTTTGCGCCTTCTCTGTTTGAGTTGGCCTTGGGGATGCTCATCCTCCTGTTGTCGCTGATGATGGTCATGCTGTTGATATGGCTGCTGTTGATTGGACACGAGATCATCGTGGATACTTCGAATGGATGCCATAACCTCATCTGGCGTCACGCGGGCATTGGCACCAGTCGATGGATTGTGACTCTCGTGTGGGTCATCCAACTGCAGCGGCTTGCCCACTGTGTATATCTTGCATCCTCTATCAATCAGGTTACAAGAGTGCGCTATTTGAATGGCAGTGCTGTACTTGTCGCCTGTGAGCATCCACACCTTGATGTTGGCCTGCCTCAGCGAGCTGATTGTCTCTGGCACCTCCTCCTGTAGCTTGTCCTCAATTGCGGTGATGCCCAACAATCGCAGGCCATTTTCCAACACATTGTATGCTTCAAACTGTTGTTGCTGTCTGTTCTCCATTGATATGCTTGCAGGTTGGTAGTACTGTTTGAACCACTGTTGATACTCGCCCTCTGTCAAGTCCTTCTCCGCAACGCACAATGTCCTCAGTCCAAGTGATGCAAACTCTTCAATGTGTGCCAGCGGTGCTTCGTATGATGATTGATTGTCATTGACCAATCTGGCAAATATAACATCATCTGCACCCTTTGTGATGATCCTGATCAGCTTGGAGGAGAGATCTCTGACGACCACACTCATTCTCTTGCGATCAGAGTTGAACTCAAAAGTGTGTAGCAGTTGGAAGTCACACAATCGATCGATGACCTGAACAGCCAATGTTGACATCGTCTTTGAAATGAACTTAATGTTAAGCTTCGATGCAGCAATGATCAATGCTTCCTCATCTGGTGATGCAGCCTTATAATGTATGTTTCCATCACTATTGTATCCACGACCAAGGGTACTAGTTAGTAGTTGTGGTCAAGAGATATAGCAATGAATGGACTTACGCGTCAATGGTTGGTATGACAGAGTGACAGAGTGATAGTGCCATGAAGAAGTCAATGACATCGGATTGTTGATGTTGGACAAGTTGGGTGAGCTCTGGGTCGTCAAGTGCCGTGCCGGCACCCTGTCCAAAGATATGATTGCCAATCGAGCACTTTGCAAACAACATCCTGTTCTCTGTTAGTGTGCCTGTCTTGTCTGTGAAGACATGTTCAATCTGTCCAAGATCCTCGCTCAGTGCCGTACTGTTTGCCACAGCATATGACTCTGTTGGCCTGTGATACATCCTCAAGTCCCAATCGATAAACAATGCATAGAAGTACTTGACAACGTCGATTGTGACCTTGAGTGATATTGGTATCATCTGTGTTTGATTGATCGATTGAATCAGTGAATGAATGATTCTGCCACTCTCATACATCTCAACATACCATTGAGTTCAGCAAAAGGAATCGAAGGGGAATGATGACGAACTCGTACCATGGTGCTTTGTAATCACTTGAGTATCCGAGGTACCATGTGTCACTGTCTTGACTGCGTCTGATTGAATCGCCAATGGCTCCAAAGATAAAGACTAATGTGAGTTGGAGACAAAAGATAAAGATTGTGATGTTGTTGATGGATCGATCCAACTTGGTCCACTTTGATGCTGGCACCTTCTTGTTCTTGCCAACTTTGGTCTCGTTGCCAGTGTACACGGCAATGCCATATATGTAGTCTGTGTTGCGCAGGTGTGTAGCCTGCAACACAAAGTTGGCATTGTCCAATATGATCCAGTCGGTGCCAGTGCCATTCATTGAGAGTCGTGCGTCGAATCGATAGATCTCAGCATTGGGTCGAGGACATTCGATTGTGCCCTTGAAGCGGCCAAGGTCCGCCAGGCTAAAGCCTGCAGTGTCGGACGGCGCAGACCTTGCCTTGAGGTCTGTCTCGCCGTCTAGGTTGGCAGTCTGCACGTAGCAGCTGCCGTCGGGATCGGATGTGGCCAGGAGAACCATGTCGACGGGGATCTCCGCGTCACAAGGCAGCCATATGATGTCGCCCACTGATATATCCTCGCTGCACACCTGTCGCTTGACACCATCGCGCACCACTTGATACAATCGCTTGTTGGCCGTGTAGTCACGACGTCGACGGTTAAGATCATCGTAGGCTTCCTTGACGGCCGACACTGCAAAGATAAATATAAGTGCGCCCCATGTTGAGATGGGGTCGACGGGCGTGATCGAGGGGAACAGCTGTAGCACACCAATCATCAAGAAGTAGATGTTCATCGCGCGACCAAACTGCTCCAGCAAGTTCTTTGGTATGAAGCTGATAACAGTGTACTTTGTATTGCTTATCGCGTTCTTTGGATAACGATCATTCCTCACAGGGTCATTCGCGTACACCATTCTCGTGCCGGCATCATTCATGTCTTGGCTATCGATGCCAAGTAGTTGCTATTGTTTGATTGATTAAGTGATTGTTTGAGTGAGTTGGCCGACACATGTGAATGTCTGTTGGGACAACATAACATACCTTTAGCCAAGCGAATGATGATGACATCGTTCGTGATAGTGTATGTAGGTAGTTGATCAAGTGATTGGGTTTGGAGTACTTTTGATAGTTGTCGTCGTTGTTGTTGCTGTTGTCGTCGTCGTCAATGGAGGCTTCAGATACACCAATTGATAGATCATCATCCAACAACAAATTAGTAGTCGATAGTATACCCTGTTGTTGTTGAAACGGTCTTCTTCTCGTCGACTTTGATGTTGTCGGTGTTGTGGTCGATGGAGTCGTCGTTGTCGCTATTGTAGTCTTTATCGTTTTTGATCTATCCAGTTCAAAACAACAACAACAATAATAGTAGTTGTAGTAGTAGTAATAAGATTATATGTATGTATGTATGTATGTATGTATGATGATCTAAAGTGAAGTGAAGTGAATGAAAGTGTTGAATTTAGAGACAAGATGATAGTTCAACTTCAAAAGTGTGTGATGGTACTCAATCATTCAATCAATTAATCAATCAATCAATCACATACGACCAACTACATAACTCAATAATAATGGGCCAATACTTGTAGAATGGAGTCTGGTTTCATCTTTAAGATTGAATAGATAAACTCTCAAGGTGTTTCAATGTTTTAACCAAGTGTTATTAAGACCACACAAACACAAATACGACGATTCCTTGAGAACAGGGATCTTTGTGTCAGATGTTCCCTTGTCTTTGTTGCCCTGGATGGCAATTCATTGAAGAATCATACCCGGGTTGTCCATTAATTACAAGGGTTACATCAAACATGTTTACTAATGTGTCATAAAAGTGTGTTTGGTGGGTGTGAACAAACAAACATACACACACATCCTCAATCGATTGACAAACGCACACAATGACCTCTAAGCAATGTAAAGCCTCGAAGATGGATGCTAGGGTGGGGTAGTGTGGTGACTCTCAGTCATTCATTCACATGAGAGTGAGAGAGATGGACTGATAGGGTCCTTCTTTCATTCCATCCATTATTTAAGCAAAGGTCCTTCACTCATTCATCTGCTCTATCTATCTACTATCCAACGACACACAGACACACAGACACTTACACACAAACACATACACCTTCACTAGCTAGTTCAATCAATCATATATCAGCAACACTCGCCATACTATTACTAATATATCTTTTATTGTAGTTATACATCTGTAAATATAACATTTTTATAAGTATACTTACTTTCATCATTCATTCATTTATTATTATCCATATCTTAGTTATTTATTATCCAACACAAAGTCAAAGTCTAATTAAATATTTATTTATTATTAATTTAACATCATCATGACAGAGGTACACTCACAAATTACAACATCAGTATCTTCACTGTTGGCCACTTCATCACCAACATCATCAACAACATCCACTGTGGCAGCTGTATCTCTACCACTTAGCTGTAGCCAAGTGACCAACCACAACAACAACAACAACAACACGAACATTGGCAATGGAAAGCAATTGCAGACCAAGGTATTCAATCAGAATCAGAGACATCCAACTGGTGGATGGAAGTTTGTCGACGAGACAGAGTTAAAGAAGCAGAGAGGGTAAGTAACACAACTTATCCATATTCACCTGATCAATCATATCATACTAACTCAATCAATCAATCAATAATAGTGTTTGTTGGGAGCTACTAAAGAGTGTTGGAAACAGTCTGATAGAGGGAAAGGAACTGGTCAACACATGTTTGCCAATAACATTGTTTGAGCCTAGGTCATTCTTGGAGAAACTCACTGATGTATGGTCATACGCTCCAGTCTACTTGCCAAGGGCTGCCGCAACATCTGATCCATTGGAGAGGATGAACAATGTGGTGGCCTTTGCAATCTCTGGCATATATCTCACAAGCACATTGGCCAAACCATTCAATCCCCTGCTTGGCGAGACATTCCAAGGTCACTATCCTGATGGCACTCAAGTGTTCTGCGAGCAGACGTCACATCATCCACCAATCAGTGCATGGCAGATACAGGGCAATGGTTTCCATTACCATGGTCAAGGATTGTTCTCTGCATCGTGTCGTGGCAACGTGGTCAAGGCCAATCAGAAGGGCATTCACACAATCAACTTTAGTGATGGAGGTACGATCACCTACACTGTGCCAGAGATCTTTATCAAAGGTATCTTCTGGGGCGACCGAATCACAGACTTTGGAGGCAAGGTACTATTCAACGATGAGAAGAACAAACTATGGTATGTACAATCATTCATTCAACCATTCAATCAATTAATCAATCAAACTAACATCATCAAATCCAGCTGTGAGGTCACATTCAATCCAACTGCACTTGGCTTCGTACGTAGTATATTCTCCAAGCAGAAGGAGCCGTCGGACTTCTTCCAAGGACATATATTCAGAACAGGTGTGACTCCTCAACCAGCCACAACTACATCCTCACATGGCAAGGACAAGGACAAGAAGAAGTCAACATCAGATTCAACCACTGAGTTGATTTGTGAGGTGGAGGGATCATGGCTGTCACAACTCACAATTGGCAACAAGGTCTATTGGGAGTTGAACATGGTGCCACCTGGATTGATCTATGATGAGTCACCTTTGCCAACTGATTGTCGATACAGAGAGGACTTGCGATACCTCAAAGAGGGTAACATCGAGAAGGCCAAAGAGTACAAAGCATTGATTGAGGATCGACAGAGGAATGAGGCCAAACTGAGAAAGGATGGTCACAAGGCATCAAAGAGCAAGCGTTGATCATGTCATGTATTGTTTTCATTAAACAATGTATTCAACATATCATATGGTTTAGGATATGAATTTGATCTAGAGGACAAGGAGAAAGTGATAAGAGTGTAGAGTATTGACCTAAGAATATATATTTTGAAGAACAACCTCGGGAAAGGAGAATTGAGGCCCTTTTTTTTTTTTTTTTTTTGACTAGAGTGGAAGTTTATTATTATTGCAAATAAATTGGCGTCATTGAAGAGGCGGGATAATATATATAAGTTAGTCGATTTTGAATTTTCTTGATTTTTTTTTCTTTCTTTTCTTTTCTACTGTAGGCCTCTGAATTCGGCCACCAAGTATTTGTTGATAGTTGGCGGCAGAGGCGGAAGACGGATGTCGCTGTTGCGAGTGCTGAGGTGCCACTTGGTAGTGAACTCGGCCATCTCATTCTTGATGTTGACTGGTCGTCCGGCCAGGATGTGACTCGTGAGCGTGGACATGAGGGAGCGCCACTCCTGGCGGAGGAGGGACTTGAAGGATGTGATGCACACCAAGCTGAGCTTGGCCAACAGGGCCTCCTTGTTGCCAAAGAGGTGGTTGGCGATGTAGTGCCAGAGGTAGTTGACGATGATTGCCATGAGGTGGATGAATGGAAGGTTGGGGCGACTAGACTTCGTGGAGATGTCCAGTGCTTTGATGTTCCATTCTCTGACATTGATACCAGAGCGTTGCTTCACCAAGTCTAAGGCTGGGCGCATGGCTTCTTGGGTTGCCACTTTGCTGCAGTCAAAGAAGAAGTGATTGTAGGGTTGGTCTGTGCAGGAGTTGCCACAGAGGGTACAGTCAGCGTCTGCTCTCATATGGTTGATTGGGAGGGTATGGGAGAAGAACCTGAAGAGGGCGTTACGCGAGGATGGTCCTCTCAGGGTGCTGATGACCTTGAAGATGTCTGGGAGCTTGAGGCCGTGGAAGACACTGAGCTGCCATTGACCCTCGGTCAGTCTGATTGAGCCATACTTTGCCTTCCAGAGGATGGCATAGATGTCTTTCAGACTGAGGGTGCCACCATTGCTATCCAATAGAGGTACCTTGTCGCTATGGCTGGAGAGGTGGGCGGAGCGGAACTCCATCCAAGGTGTGTGGAACTTGCGGAAGAGGCCAGTGAACTTGCCTCCCAGGCGCTTCCTGGCGTTGCGGTGTTGAGTTCTCCACGAGTCCAGGTAGCCATGGGTGAGATGGGCTGGGGTGTTGAGGAAACGATTGAACACCCAAACCTTGTAGGCAATTGATCTGAGTCCAATGTCCCAGAGGTTGAGGCCACCTTGATCCCAATGGAAGCTGGCGCGGTCCAGTGCCATCGTGTTGATGAAGCTGGAGCCGTAGGCGGTGGTCTTGGGGGCTGAGATGAACCATTTGGTGAGGTTTTCGATCTTCTTGATCTGCCACTTGGTCGGTGAGTCCAGATAGAAGTGGTACATCAGAGGGGGGAGGGCGTAAGACTTGAGAGCTGCAACCTTGGACCGCAGTGTGGTGCTTTCAGACTTGAAGAGCGAGAGTCTGCCGCGGAGGGAGCTGATGAGAGTCTTGAACTTGGAGTAGATGCCCTGCTTGGTGAAGTTGACGCCCAAGTACCTTTCAGGTTCGGTGGCCACTGGGTAGGGGAGCTCRGACGTTGGTGCATCGCCCAGGACAATGTGGACAGACTTGTCGACATTGATGGCTGACGAGGTGGCTTTGCAGAAGACCT